TACCCAGGCTGGAGTGCAATGGCGCGATCTTGGCTCACCGCAACCTCTGCCTCCTGAGTTCAGGCAATTCTCCTGCCTCAGCCTCCTGAGTAGCTGGGATTACAGGCACGCACCACCATGCCCAGCTAATTTTTTGTATTTTTAGTAGAGACGGGGTTTCACCATGTTGACCAGGATGGTCTCGATCTCTTGACCTCGTGATCCACCCGCCTCGGCCTCCCAAAGTGCTGGGATTACAGGCGTGAGCCACCGCGCCTGGCCACGCCCAGCCAATATTTTGTATTTTTAGTAGACATGGGGTTTCACATCTCAAGCTGGTCTCAAACTCCTGACCTCAGGTGATCTGCCCTCCTTGGCCTGCCAGCATGCTGAGATTACAGCCATGAGCCACTGCACCCAGCCCTATTGTCCCAATTTTTGTGATAATACTTTTCTTGTCTTCATAGTTTGCCCTGAGGTATGCATCTATAAATAATACAGTCCAGTTTTGTCTGGTTTTGAGCTCTATAAATCAGATGATACTGTATGCATTCTACTGTGTCTTTCTAGTTTGCATCATTATGCTTGTGAGATTTTTCCATGTTGTAGATATAATTTTTCTTTTTTTTAATTAAAAGTAATTTTGGCTGGGCATGGTAGCTCACTTCTGTCATCCCAGCACTTTGGGAGGCTGAGGAAGAAAGATCTCTTGAGGCCAGAAGCCTGAGACCAGCCTGGCAACAATGGGAGACTTGTCTCTACAAAAAAAATTTTAAAAAATTAGTTGAGCATGATGGTATGCACCTGTAGTTCCAGATTCTCAGAGGCTGATGTGGGAGGATCACTTGAGCCTGGGAGTTTGAGGCTTCAGTGAACTGTAATTGCGCCACTGCATTCTAGCCTGGGAGAGCAAGGCCTTGTCTCTAAAAAAAATTTTTTTAATTGTTTTTCTTAACCTTTTAACAGAGTTTTACATGTATAGTAGCACATAGCCACAATGTTGTACAGCAGATCTCTAGAATGCATTCATTTCGCATTACTGAAACTTATACTTTTTGATTAACAACGCCCCATTTCCTGAAAGCCCCTGCCCTGGCAACCACTGTGTCCGTCTTTGCTCCTATGAGTTTGACTATGTTAGATACCTCATTGCAGTGGAATCATGCAGTATTTGTCCTCCTGGGACTGGCTTATTTCACCTTGCATAGTGGCTTCACGGTTCGTCTGTGACATCTCATGTTGCACGATTTTCTTTTTTTTTTTTAATTTTTATTATTTAATTTTATTGTATAGTATTTTATTATTTTTCAGACAGGGTTTTGCTCAGCTGTCCAGGCTGGAGTGCAGTGACATGATCATAGCTCACTGCAGCCTTGAACTCCTTTCCTGGGCTCAAGTGATCCTCCTGCCTCAGCCTCCCGAGAAGCTGAGACCACAGGAGTGTACCACCATGACTGGCTAACTTTTTAATTTTTTGTAGATACCGAGTCTTGCTATGCTGCCTAGGCTGGTCTCAAACTCCTGGACTCGAGCGATCTTCCCACCGTGTCCTCCCAAAGTCCTGGGATTACAAGCATGAGCCACAGCACCTAGTTGATTTTTTTCTTTTTAAAGGCTGAATATTTCATTCTTTTGTGTATATCTCTGCAAAGAAAACTCCCATTTCCTCTCTACTCTATACCCACCTAATAATTCTTCACCTCTGTCACCAAATGTGTGGTGGATTTTTTCCCACAGTAGTTCAGTTCTTTAGCAGACGGTAGGTGTCCTACATTTGCTCAGTTCTGATACTAACTGCCAGGAGTTAGTCCGGTCCTCCCTGTCCACCCCTACTCCAGACCCCCCACTTAAGACTGCAGTCACAAATGGTAAGTGTTCCACATTCAGCTCACAGAACAGTTTCTTTACTGGATTATTAGTTGATTGCAAAAGGATACAACTCAGAAGCAGCCAGCAGGAAGAGATGCACAGTGCAAGGTATGCGGGAAGGGGCATGGTGCTTCCAGGCCCTCTCCAGGCACACCAGCCTCCCACCATCTCTGCATGTTCTCACCAAACCAGGAGCCCCCTGAGCCTCATCCTTCTGGGTTTTTATGTAGGCCTCCTTACCTAGACATGATTGATTAAATAATTGGCCATTGGCAATTAAGTCAATCTCCAGCCCCTTTGTCCTCCCCAGAGGAAGTTTGGTTTGGTTCGGTTGTTTTGAGATGGAGTCTCACCTGTTGCCCAGGCTGGAATGCAGTGGTGTGATCTTGGCTCACTGCAACCTCTGCCTGCTGGGTTCAAGAGATTATCATGCGTCAGCCTCCTGTGTAGCTGGGATTACAGGTGTGCACCATCACGTCTGGCTAATTTTTTATTTTTAGTAGAGATGGGGTTTCTCAATGTTGGTCAGGCTGGCCTGGAACTCCTGACCTCAGGTGATCCTCTCACCTTGGCCTCCCAAAGTGCTTGTCTACAGGGAATACAGGCATGAGCCCCTGCACCCAGCCAATTTTGTATTCTTTAACAAATCTCTCCCTACCCCATGCCCTCCACCCTTCCCAACCTCTATTGTCCTCTGTTCTACTTTTTACTTCTGCGAGAGCAACATTTTTTAGGTTCCACATATGAGTGAGAGCATGTGGCATTTAACTTTTCGTTCTTTATTCCACTTAATGTCTTCAGGTTCTATGTTGCTGTGAATAACAGGATTTCGTTTTTCTTTTTTTCACCTTCAGCTGTCTTGATAGAGTTATAAGGATTTCATTTTTTTAAATGGCTGAATAGTATTCTGTTGTGTATATGTACTTGATCGCTTGTTGAACAACTTGGTTGATTCCATGTCTTGGCTGTTGTGGATAGTGCTGCGATAAGCCTGGGAGTGCAAATGTCTCTTTGATATGCTGACATCTTTTCCTTTGCAGAAGCGCTCAGTAGTGAGCTTGCTGAATCATATGGTAGGTCTATTTGTAGTTGTTGGAGGAACTTCTGTGCGATTCCCCATAGTGGCTGTACTAGTTTACATTCCCGCCAGCAGTGGAAGTGTAAGAGTTCTCTTTTCTCTTCATCCTCCCCAGCATTTGTTATTTTCTGTCTTTTTGATAATAGCTATCCTAACCCAGGGAGGATGATACCTTGTTTTTTTGGTTTTTTTCTTTAATTTAAAAAAAATTTTTTAGAAAGGCTAATAAAAAATGCCTTTCTAAAAAATGCCAAAAAATATAGAACATCAACATAATTAAGAAATTGCACCAATTAATGGGCAAAGCAGCCAGCCAACATTAAATGACAGCATCAAACTCATATATATTGTTATTAATTCTAAATTCAAATCGACTAAATCCCCCAATCCAAAGACACAGACAGGCAAAAAAAGCCAAGACCCATGGGTATGCTACATCTAGATCCATCTTACATGCAAGGATACACAAAGACTCAAAACAAAGGGATGGAGAAAAATTTACCAACCAAATGGAGAGCAAAAATAAATAAATAGAAAGCAAGAGTTGCAATTTTTGCTGATAAAATAGACTTCAAAGCAACAAAGATCAAAAGAAGCAAAGAAGGATATTACATAAAGATAAAAGGATCAATGTAACAAGAAGAGCTAAAGATCCTAAATATATATGCACCCAATACAGAAATACCCAGATATATAAGACTTATAAAGAGACTTGGACTCCCACACAATAATAGTGGGAGACTTACAGATCAATGAGACAGAAAGTTAACATCGATATTCAGGACTTGAACTCAGATCCAGAACAAGTAGACTTAATTAACATTCATAGAACTCTCCACTTTAAATACACAAAATATACACTCTTATCAGTACTACATCACACGTATTTACAGGTTTAAATGAAATATTGGTTGGCTGCTTGTTAATTATTTTCTTCCCTCATTTTTTTTTTTTATGTCTCTATTATTAAACATAATTACAGGCACACCCATTTTTAGACTGCATTTTAGCCCGGGCAATAAAGCAACACCCCTGTTCTCTCTCCCTCTTCCTCTTCCTCTTTCTTCCTTTCCTTTATTCTTTTTTTTTTTTTTTTTT